CCCCCACCACACGCCCCTCATTCTGTGTGCGCTCCCCTCCGCCCATCTCCCCATTCGCCTGCGCTCCCCTCCGGTCTCCTCTCCCCTCCGCCTGCACTCCCACGTAGTTTCCTGCTCTGCTCTCCACCTTTCTCCCCTCTCCGCCCTCGCATTTCCCCCCGGCATCCGCCTACCCCCACCCCAATATAACTAACTACGACCCTCCCTCCCCTCCCCTTTATCAACTGTAGTATCTGTTCCGATCGGTTTTCATATGTTATCGAAGTTGTCCTTGATCCGTGGACCCTTTTTTTTTCAAGAAAATAAAAAAAATTAAAAAAAAACGCACGTGCACGTGCGCGCGTGCAAGAGGGAGGGAGGGGGAGAGAGAGAGAGAGAGAGAGAGAGAGAGAGAGAGAGAGAGAGAGAGAGAGAGAGAGAGAAACTTACCTGCTTGTCCTTGTGGTTGGCGGCCATAGCCACGATTGTGAGGAGTCTGTGTATATCATTTCAAGTTGTAATTAAGTTGTGTGTGTTTTCTCGTATTGTGTGGATCTTGCTGTTGTGAGTGAAATCCCTTCTCTTTAACCTCTGAAATTCAGTGTTTTTAATAGTCTGTTGGATTGAGACGGTTGGTTTGTTGGTTGGTTGAGATGGTCAATGATGATCATTCAAGTTTGAGAAATTTTGACATGTCTGACTGTTTGCCGAGGTTTGTTGTCAGATTTTTATCCGTCCAGCGGTCCCATCTACCAATTGTCTTTGTGTTCAACTGCATTGATAACTTGATGCTGATCTATTATATGGCGTTCCTTTCTCTAAAGGTTGTCTATTGTCCGTGGGGATGTGGTGGTCGATTGGTTGAATGTGGTTTTGGATATGGTGGTGATGACACGACGACCACCAACCAAGGATGGTGGGCCAACACAATACTACAGCACCACTGTGTTCGAAGATTGCACGCCAGCGTTGCTTCGGGACTTCTACATGGACAGCAGATTCCGCTTGGAGTGGGATGACATGCTCGTCTCTTTCAAGCGGCTAGGGCTGTGTGAGGAAATGGGTGCGGAGATTGGTCACTTTGTGAAGAAATTCCCCCTCTTCTGTAGCCCTCGTGACTATGTCATCATGTGGCGGCTGTGGAATGCACCGAATGAGGTTTTCTATTATATCAGCAAGGTAAGTTGACCGCAAATATGAATATTAAGTGTTGTTGTTGTGGTGGTGGTGGTGGTGGTGGTGGCCGTTGTGGTTTTGTTTGTGGTTGCGTTTGTTCTTGTTTTTGTTTTTGTTGTTGGTGTTGTTGTCGTTGTTGTTGTTGCTGTTGTTGTTGTTGTTGTTGTTGTTGTTGTTGTTGTTGTTGTTGTTGTTGTTGTTGTTGCTGTTGTTGTTGTTCTTGTTGTTGTTGTTGTTGGTGGTGGTGATGGTGGTGGCGGTGAAGGTGGTGGTGGCGGTGGCGGTGGTGGTGGTGATGTTGACATCAACTTTACTATAAAAGCTGTTGTTGTTGTTGTTGTTGTTGCCATTGTTGTGTTTTAAGACGGCAACTTATACTAGAAAAGCTGGGAACTGGATCCAGCATCCCCTACATAAATGACCCACTCGACGTTTCCATCCATTATGGCTGATGTTCTGTTTCCTGGTGTCTTTTTTCTTTTTCTTTTTTGGGACCCTTTCTTGATTTATGTGTGGCGTCCTCGCACGGGGTCCATGCTATCTTTAGTACAAGTTGCTGTCTTAAAACACAACAATGGCAACAACAACAACAACAGCTTTTATAGTAAGTTGATGTCAACACCACCACCACCACCACCACCGCCACCACCACCACCACCACCACCAACAACAACAACAACAACAACAACAACAACAACAACAACAACAACAACAGACATGCCTGATGAACCGTGGGCGGAAAAGGAGCGAAGGACAAGAAACGGAAGCTGTGACAGACCATTTTGTCGGTGTTTCACCGACTGATCAGCAGGCGAAACCCTCTCCAGTCTGCAGAGCGATACTGTTAACGTTGTTAAGTTGTAACCCGCCTTAACCCCGCCACCAACAGTGTTAAGTCAATGCCGCTTCCCATCAACTAAAGGAGTGCACTTTGCAAAACAAAGGAAGGAAATATTTCCGAAATAGCAGACACACATATAACTAATAAATATTAAATAATAAATATCAATCTGTGGCGAGTCCTTGAAACTCTGATGGAACAACCTGTCACGGCCCCCTTTCTCGTCGTTCTGTCTTCTTCTGCCTAGCGCACTTTGCCAAATCTGTGTAATATATGATGAAACAGTCTGTCACGGCCCCTCGTTTCGTGTCTTTTTGTCTTCTTCTGCGTAACACACTTCGCAAAATCCATGTACATTGTCTGTCACGGCCCCGTGTTTCTTGTCTTTTTGTCTTCTCCTGCCCAGCACACTTTGCAAACTCTCTGTGTATCGTCACAGAGAACTGTCCGGTGAAGCTTCGGACCTATGATCCTCTCCCAACCCACTGCAGTAAACCAAGAGCTGGTGTTTTTTTTTTTTGTGAACCCTTTGAGTTTACTGCTGCGAACATCAGCTCTCACTTTACTGAGAGGCTCGGTAAACTGAGAGCTGATGTTCGCATGTGAAGTCTCAGTTTACTGCTGCAAACTTCAGCTCTCAGTTTACTGAGCCTCGTCTAGCACAGCTCCTGGCTGTTAACAAATTCTGAGCCGCCGAACCCGCCCAAATTCTTAGGCTGCTGAAGTTTTGTTGACAGCAAATGTTGCAGAGGCAGAAAGCTCGGCAAGCTGGGATCAGTTTTTTTTTTCTTTTTCTTTTTTTTTTTGGCCAATGTAGAAGGCAGAGACGAGAAGGAATTCGGTCTGAACTCTTGAGTTGTCTGCAAGCTACCGTCTTCACCCGAATAGAACGCCCTGTAATTATGGCCGTATCTGGACTAAAAGTTGCATCAGATACAGCTATAATGACTGGGCGTTCTATCCGGGTGAAGACGGTAGGATCAGACTCACCAGATGCTTTTTGTTTTTTTCAAATTTTTTGGTTTTTTGCCAGTGTCGACAAATTGTTTTGTCCTCCTGGATTTTGGGTGTTTTTGTTTCGCAGCGATTCACAATTTGCTCTTGGATATGTTGTCTTAAGTCGTTACCCATTTTCTCTTTTTCGGGGGGCTGTGTGTCGTCTGGTCTTTTTCTGTCTGTTGCAGTCATGTGACCATGCAGCAGCCCCAAAGCAAAGGAAACCTGTGAGAGTGATCAATTATGAGTCAGCATGGAGGATTAAGGGAGGTAGGTACACTTGCTCCTGCTTTGGTTCCCATGATTTCTGGTGGTGGTATCATGCATGCATGTATGTATGTATGTATGTATGTATGTATGTATGTGTCCTGCGCTTGCATTTCGTCTGTTCAAATCCGTGTTTGCACATGGGCAAAACTGTTTCGCAGCAAAGAAAAAGAAAACAAGAAGAGCAGGAGGAAGAAGAAGAAGAGGAAACAAAGCAAAATTGGTATGACTGAGAACGGGAGGAAGAAAACAAGAAGAGCAGGAGGAAGAAGAAGAAGAGCAGCAGGCCGAGAAAGGAGGAGAAGTGGAGGTATGTTGGGTAGATATGAGCTTTTACGACTTTCACTGCTTCGCGCCTAATTCACCGCCTATGTGCCCTTCATGCCTAGTCGTTCCGAATAACTCTTTGGTGGCGTCTGTCATGTACTCAATTACAAGAAAAAGCAAGGCCGAGGCGAGGCAGAGAACATGTCGAGTTGAATCTCGTGAAGTGGATGTGTTTGTCCGTTTCTGCACGATCGGAGTGAGGCTTTGGTGCATTGGCAATGGCACGTTTCTGCGAGCTGTTTGATTTTCAGTCACCGCGGGGCAGCATTCAATCATTATCATTGGAGTGATGATAATGCTGTAAATACTATACTAAATCCAAAATTCCACATCTATTTACTTTTCTGCAAGTTTTATCTGATTTTGTGGCACATCGCTGTGTTTTCCGGAGTTCATTTGGTCATTATCATTGGAGTGATGATAATGCTGAAAATTCCGCAGCCATTTATTTTTCTAAGTTTTATGAACTTTAATTTAATAATGAAGTTTAATCTGATTTTGCTGCATATCGCTCTGTTTTTTGGAGTTCTTCAACTTCTTCTGCAATTTCGGTGATTTTAATTCTGAATCAACATCCACCTTGATCATCCGAAGGATTTCAGCAAGTTTTATCTGATTTTGTGCCACACTGTTTGTGGTGGTTGGCGATGGAACTCGCCTCAGTCCATTCTCGCACGGGATGCAGTCCTGCAAGTGAAATTGTCGTCTTGCACCGTGAAGACATGGGTTTACAGAGAAGTATGGCGAAGATGGGTGCTCGCAAAGGCACATGGACATATGTGAAGAGAATGGACGCAGCTTTGCGACTCTATGCTCAGCGAGAACAGCTCAGCATGACTGCTGAGCGGAGTGCTGTGACCCTGGCACATGCTGTAAGTTCCCTCACGTCGCTCTGCTTCGCGCTCCCCCACCCACCACCCCCCCCAAAAAAAAACCCTCTTACCTTCTTCCCTCTCTCTCCCCTCCCCTCTTCTCTGCCCTCATGTCCTCACCTCACCCCTTGCCTTCCCTCACATACCTCTCTCTCCCCTCCCCTCTTCTCTGCCCTCATGTCCTCACCTCACCCCTTGCCTTCCCTCACATATGCTGTGCGTTTTCTCCCTAGTGTCTCTCTCTGCCCCCCTCCCCCTCCCTCCCTCCCTCCCTTTCTCTCTCTCCTCTCCCCGCCC